TGAGAACACCGTCTCTGGGATTAAATGTTCCCGTTTTGACTATCTTGCATTCATATTTTTCGTAATAATCTACATTTTGTTTAAATTTTAGTAATACGTGAGATAAAATCATTTTAAGAGATTAATTTATGAGAGTGAAAAGCTTTTAATGACAGTTTTTAAGATGTGTTAATTGTAACCTTATGTGTTTGAGGTTATGTAATGTCTTTTAAAGTGTAGCTATGCTTTTTAAATTTATAAACAAATTTTTTTATAAATTCTTCTATGTAAAATTTAATTATTGCACAATAGTAAGAATCTTATAAAATTTGTTTAAGTACGCATTTAGTAAAAGTGAATATTTTATGAAGAATGAGTGGTTCAAGTTTCTTGTGCGCCGCCATCTTGTTTATGGAGGTCCGCCATTTTAAATGCTGTACGCGTCGGGAAAGCAGACATGTGTTAATTTTAATTTTTGACACAAAATGTGTTATTGTTAATTATTGTAAAATTCTGAATAAATGTAGTTAAATCCTGCAGTCATTGTTAAAAAATTCAAATAATAAAATAATTAAATTCCGCAGTTATTGTCACAACCTTCTGAATAAAGAAATAATTAAATTCTGTACTCATTGTCAACAGTTACAAAACTTTCAAATAACGAAATAATTAAATTGAGGAATGTTTGTAATTACAACGTGATTCTAATTGGACTACACGCAATTGTCCGAGATTTAAGAATGTAAATTTATCCGACAATGGTTAGAAAAGGAAAATAATGAGGGGATCGTGAAGGTGTCGTCCTAAGCGTTCCACAGTAAATTTCATTAACCTACTTTCGCAACGATGAAGATTTTAACGGTGAAATTCATTCTTGACTTCACGCTACCACGAACAGTTTTATTTTTACAGCCAGAAGCACCGAGCTTTTGCAACAAACACGCTCCTCGTGTGCGCATATGTGTACATATTTCCACCTGCAATTTCCATTTTCGCCTGATGTATAACAGAACGAAGAGTGCAATAAAATTCTGCGGGCTTAAACCTTCGTGGGGAGCGGTATTTTTAATATTCATAAATCAGACTTGAATAAAATTAACCCTCTGCTACGATCGGATCAATTGCGATCTGAATCTTAAAACCAGTATAATTCTGCATTACAGATCGGACAAATTTGATAAAACTTTGAAATATTTTACATAATGCAATTACATTAATGCAATTATATTAATAATTGTATTATGTAGTTCAATCTTTGAAACATTTTATGTCATGCGATTATAATAATGCAATTATATTAATAATAGTATTATGTAGTTCAATCTTTGAAACACTTTACACAGTGCAATTATATTAATTCAATTATATTAATAATTGTATTATGTAGTTCAATCTTTGAAACATTTTATGTCGTGCGATTATAATAATGCAATTATATTAATAATAGTATTATGTAGTTCAATCTTTGAAACATTTTACACAGTGCAATTATATTAATTCAATTATATTAATAATTGTATCATGTAGTTCAATCTTTGAAACATTTTATATAGTGCGATTATAATGATGCGATTATATAATGGAATTACATTAATGCAATTATATTAATGCATTTATTTACAATTATATTAATGCAATATTTACAATTTTTGGAAATATTGTGTGTAGTACAGAAATAATATTTAAGAATTCAGAAATCTAGAGATTTTTGAATCTAGGAATTTTTGAAATGTTGAAATTTGGCAATTTAGGGTTTTAGGAATTTAGAAATTTTGGAATTTAAGAAATCCACAAATTCACGAATCGATAAGTCAACAAAGCCCCCATAGGTCCCCTAAATCCCCAAATCCCCAAATCCGCAAATCTCCAAATCCCTAATTCCCCAAATTCACATATCCCTAATTCCCGAAATCCCCAAACTCCAGCTCTCGAAATCCCTAAATTCACCAAATCCCCAAATTTCCCAAATCCCCAACTTTCCGAATCCCCCAACTCTCCAAATCCCCAACTCTCTAAATCCCCAACTCTCCAAATCCCCAATTCTCTAAATCCCCAACTCTCCCAAATCCCNNNNCAATCTCCAACTCTCTAAATCCCCAACTCTCCAAATCCCCAAATTCCCCAAATCCCCAACTCTCCAAATCCCAACTCTCTAAACCCCCAACTCTCCAAATTCCCAATTCTCCAAATTCCCAACTCTCTAAATCCCCAAATCTCCAAACCCCTAACTCTTCAAATCCCCAAATTCCCCAAATCCCCAAATTCCCTAAATTCCCAACTCTATAAACCCCCAACTCTCCAAATCCTCAACTCTCTAAACCCCCAACTCTCCAAATTCCCAATTCTCCAAATTCCCCACCCTCTAAATCCCCACCCCCAACTCTCCAAATCCTCAACTCTCTAAACCCCCAACTCTCCAAATTCCCAATTCTCCAAATTCCCAACTCTCTAAATCCCCAAATCTCCAAACCCCTAACTCTTCAAATCCCCAAATTCCCCAAATCCCCAATTTCCCAAATTCCGAATTCCTCAAATCCCCAAATCCCCAAAACCAGAACCTAAAAAATTAAAAAATATTAGAAAGTACAGAAGTCCTCCATTTTCATCTCCCCGAATAGAGTACCTCCCTAAAAAAAAATTCTGTAGTACCACGCTCGAAAAATATAATTAAGTCCCTCGCATCGCATGTTGCATCACGTGTAGAATACAACGGAGCAGCAAGATACTGTGTTTTTGCATCGCCCCGTTAAGAGAAGCTTTATCACGTTAATATTCGAAATTAGATCGTTAGAGACACCGCACACCAATGCGCTTCCATTACAGGGCCATTTCTAAACCATAACACGCTCCATTGCTTCCAATGCACTGCCACGTTACAAGTATCCTGTTAACGCTCCCGTCGAGATGGTTTTACAGTTATCGATTTGCGGGCCAATATCAGGAATTATACCGAACGTGTTCCTTGATATCGTAAGAGGATATTGAATGAGTAATTTCAGAGGTAACGACGAAATTGTAGAACATGACAACATGAATGTTGGCAACTCATAAATGTGCTAATTTATGTCAGACCGCGGGTCAAATGAATCGTAACCAGTTTCACATCTAATAAGACACGCCTCGGTAACCATCCTATGTATAATTCGAACGTGCAAACGTAATTTGATGGAAGCAGTTCAGAACTTTAGACAGTCAAGTATTCATTGAATTACAATTTACGAGTTAATCAATTTCCGTTCGGATTCGTGAAATTTTGCTAGGTAACATACTTCATCGATTGTTCCTAGAATTATACGGATGAAAGTCGAGTATGTTCAGAAATTAACCGTTATATGGCCGCGAACCAGATACATGGGACACCACCGAGTAAAAAGTCTTAGAGAACGTGGGTCGAAAGGTCAACCGTTTTCGAGATACAGAAGCGTCCGTTTAAGCGTCCGTTGGTTTCTTAAGTGTCCGCCGCTAACAGTCCCTGGAAATGGGACTTCGGAGCAGTTTCGAGACGCGCCGGATATCCGTATCCCACTCGCTCGCATTCTCTCTACTTCCTTCGATCGAATCCGCGGAAGTCACCTCCCCATTTAAGCGTCCGTGTTCTGTCCGACCGCGGACGCGTAAGTGTACGCTTCTGTACAAAGATTTTTGTATGTCGCATCATGGCTGACTTATTGGCTTCTGTTGCCGCGAGCGATACCTCGGTGTTTATAAACAGCGTTCTGAATGTTGTTCAATTTTTATACATACTTCGCGGTGGACGATTTCATCGGCAATCGGTCATCGATCTATCTGCAGAACGCGTGCTGGGTATCGTGCTCAAAATGGCGGCGACTCTAACGAAGAAATGGCGGTCATGTTTGGCTGCGCTAGTGGAAGTTCTTTAGGTGCAAGTTGTTATACGAGAAAACCTTTAATGCAACATATAAAGAATTCATAGTTAATCAGTTAGTACTCAAGATTGCTGTCCTAATTAATATGAAACTGCTGCATAAGGTGTTGAAAACGTGTGCAGCGTTTGTTACCTTCAAACGGACCACTTGCTTTTCGGAATGTTCCAATTTTTCATACCTCTCCATGAAATCTTGCCCAATTCCACGGCACAATTTTCTGCTTCAATATGTTTCGGTACACGAAGCACGTACATACGTTCCCTTTCATATCCGAATGCAAGCTGCAGGTAAATGCGCGGGCGGCATGTTTGTGGATGTCGTAGAAGAGGGTGGAAAAGATTTTGTGTCGATAAGCAATGTGCTACCACGATTGATCGCATGGATACACGTGTGGTGAACCATCTCCGGAAATTTGCATCGCAATATGGAAACCTAAGGATGGCGTGCTGGTTGAAAAGGTTATGATCAGTCGGATATATGCACCTGTGCACGTATGTGGAAACAATATGTGGGGATTTATAGTTGATCGCGAGCCGAATGTTTGATGTGGATTTTATTACTTGGCGGACCTTGCACCTTCTTAGTTTTGTATTTCACTCATATTTTGTTTGGTTTTATTAATTATTGATGTTGTTGATAAATTGGAGGTTATGGGATATCATAAATTTGAGGTTAGAGTCCATCTGTTATTTTCGTTTAGTAATTTATCATCTTTGTTAATTTACTATGTTACTAAAGATGTTAGAGATTGTTAATAAAGATGTTAGAAGCCAGCTACCATTTTTGTTTAGTATTCATACAATTAATATTTTATAATAATATTGAGGTTAAGGTCGAAATACTGTCTACGTTTATTACACATATAACAGATAATATTAATAAACTTGAGATTGTACATAACTCTGTTAAATAAAGTAACAAGAAATGAGAGTATACAGTAGACTCTCGTTATATCGCCACTAACAATATTACAATAAATAATTAACAGTCTAATATTGCATTTAAGGTTTTGAAAATCTTCTGCTTCTATAGTATCGTGAAAATGCAGAGTATGTGGTCATATAGCGAGAGTGCATTGTAGCTAAGAAAACGGATCAGTAATATTGTTATATTTTTTGTGTTGGCTGTTTCAAGTCATGGTACGACTACAAGCTGCGATGGGAGCCGAAGGAGTACGGTGGAGTCCACATGCTACATGTGCCGTCCGACCATATATGGCGGCCAGACATAGTCCTCTACAACAAGTGAGTCTGACTGCTTCTTTGTTCTGTATTCTAATTACACCTTCTATAGTTTCTCATTACATACTCTATATACATATGGTAGTGGTACAGCATGCTACTGGAGATATTTAAGTCGCCTGAACGCTCGTTTCTTCGTGTTACCATTCTTTCAGATAAATTTATTTGAAATAATTAACAGAATCAAAAAATAATTACATATATAGACATTAACGTTTTATCTAGTTTTAATTTTATATTTTTTCATGTAGGTACAAGAAATAGCTTGGTATAGGTTATAATTTGCATATATGCAATATAATGAGAGTATTGATCTTAGGGTGTTTAGGCTTGATATTATATAACTTCGTTACCAAATTGACTGAAGAGCATTAACAAAATTAATTTGGTAGGGTCCTCATGGCTGCTGTAGTAGACTCTTGTTATATTGCCACTATTCATATTACCAATTGAATAAGTTTGTACTGTTTCATAAGCTTCACTAAAGAAAATTGCAGTGTAATTAACTCGAGAGTTTGAAGATTATGAAACTTTTTAATTTCTAGCTTATTTAACTTAAACATTTTAAATTTCAATTTTTATTCAATCATAAATTTTCAAATTTCTATAATTGAACGATTGTAAATTTTGAAATCTCTGGCTCACAAAATTAGACAATTTGAAATTCTACATTTAACACAGAGCTCTGCCTACATTACTGATATCAAGAATACTCGACTATAATGGCAATATAACGAGAGCGTTGAATTATATAAACTTCTGAAAAGGAGTAAATTGCACTCAGAATTTGGAATTGAACTTTCTTGTTTATATAACAGTTCTGTGCGTGGATATAATGGCTTATACACATTACATGATGGCGAACAAAGGAAAGAAGGAACGAGCGTCCACTCGACTTAATAAGAGAGGTACCATCGTCGTGCATATTGCATTTCAAAGTAGAACAGTCTATTTGATGTCAGAGTGCATCTCATATCGCGACGTCGTCCCGAAAGTTACGGAAAAATGTGAAACTGTTAACTTCGAATTGAACCACGAGCTAGCGCGTGCGTGTCAACGATACTTATCGCCATTTCTAACCTGATTCATCGTTATATTTGGCCGTTTAGGTAAACAAACGAATCTTGTCGATGTACGTAGTATTTGTGCTGTTGGATTATATGTAATATATCGAGTGTATATTGCATATTGTGCGAAAGTGTATTTTTGCATTATATTCAAGTATTTTTGCGTTACGTTCAAGTATGCAATATATGAAGAGGAACAGTAAGATACAGTGACACTCATACAGGGGTAACTTTATTCAATAGAGATAGATTGACAAAGTTAATAAAATCAGTAATTATGGATATTGTTCAAATTGATATATAATTTTTTGTAATAACATTTTTTTAATATAGAAGTCTTCGTTAATTTTGTAATTTTATATGCTAAAAGTTATGTTATGAGTAAAGTGATAGATTGAAAGTTCAAATAAACACTTTGATTCGTGATTAATTATTAAATTAGTACAATTGCTATTTTAATACAGTAGAATCTTGATAATTTCCTGCGTTAGGGGTTCTAGAGGTGGGAGAGAAGTTATACGTATAACCAAATATATCTTTTATCGAGGATTTTATCTAGTAAGTGAATATTTAGATTGTGTTGTATATTGTCCAGTGAAATTCTAATTAAATTTCTAGAGAATTAGTGTAACATATTAAATACATGTGAACATTGAGTTCCTCCGCCATATTGTTAGAAGTTGGCGGGAGATTCAAATTCAAGTATAAGAATTTAAAATTTCATAAATTTAAGATTTATAAATTTGAAAATTTAAGAGTTTCAAAGTCCCTAGATCTAATAATTTGAATATTAGAAAACTTAAAAATCCCTAGACTAATAATTTGAAAGTCCCTAAATCCAACAATTGGTAAATCCCTATACTAAAAGTTTGAAGACTTCTGAAAATTTTAAAATCCCTAAACCCAAAAATTTGAAAGCTCCTAACCTTAATAGTTTGAAAATCTCTAAACTCAAAAATTTGAAAATCCCTAAACTCAGAAATTTGAAAATTCTTAAACTCAAAAATTTGAAAATCCCTAAACTCAAAAATTTGAAAGCTCCTAAACCCAATAATTTGAAAATCCCTAAACTATAAAATTTGAAAAACTCAAAATTCAAAAATTTGGAAATCCCTAAATCCAAAAATTTGAAAGCTCCAAACCCTAATAGTTTGAAAATCCCTAAACTCAAAAATTTGGAAATCCCTAAACTCAAAAATTGAAAATTCCTAAACTCAAAAATTGAAAATTCCTAAACTCAAAAACTGCAAATTCCTGAACTCAAAAATTGAAAATTCCTAAACTCAAAAATTGCAAATTCCTGAACTCAAAAATTTGAAAATCCCTAAACTCAAAAATTTGCAAATTCCTAAACTCAAAAATTGAAAATTCCTAAACTCAAAAATTGCAAATTCCTGAACTCAAAAATTTGAAAATCCCTAAACTCAAAAATTTTCAAATCCCTAAATCCAAAAACTAAAAAATTCCCAACCTCAAAAATAAAAAAATGCAAAAATCCAAAAATTTACAAATTTTCAAATTTCAAATTTTGCAATTATTTCTCGAGACTTGAAAATGAAAAACCCCACAAACTTCTACTAAACAATATATGCTTTATCACGTACATCAGCACAACATGCACACATCGCAGATTCGTTCGCGCCACAAACCTGTCCGAAAAGAAGCTGATAAATTACGAAAGAAAACAAGGGCAGCCGTGGTTCAAATTTTCACCGTCATATTTCATTCTCGCGTGTATTTACACATATTTGCGTAACTTATTAAAAACGAGCGAGAGCCACCGAGCCTGTTCACGAGTCTTTTTCCCTCGGTTTTTGGCTCGTGCTCGACACTCACGGCGAGCTCTCTCGGTAGCCACCGGATAGATTATTATTCATATCGCATGAAACATGGGCGCTGCGGCGAATGTTCGTGTGAATGGTTCTTTACGAACGGGCCTAGGTCACGAGAGACACGTTTTCACTTTGGTAAATGCCGCGAACGACCATCTTGTGGAACCCTTTACGTTGTTTCCGAACGAGTGCTGACGAGCTTCCTCGAAACGTGAAACATCCATACAAACACGAGCTGAAATTATTCATTTTTATAAATCAGGGTCGACGAGAGACTATTTCGGCCCAAAATTTGTGATACGAAATTGTATTATTCTCCATTTAACCCGGGGTCCGGTGATGCCTCTCGACGCCCCTGTACTGGCGCGAAAATTTGAAAACCGCGAGGCGTTCTGTCGTTCCAAACTAGTTTTTTCTTACTGTAAGTAAGGTGAGTATGTAAGAGTGATTGTAAGATTATTACTTGGAAGTTTAATAAGAATTGTGAGCTCTTATTTCGATCATATTGTGGCAAAATAATACTTTCACTGTGGCGAATGTAATTTGTGTATTATCAGGGATATTTTGTTTTTTTTTGTGTAAGTTCCTGGATTTTGAAATTTTTTAATTTTTCAAATCTCAGATTTCTGTCTTCATAAATTTCTACAATTTTAATTATTTAAATTATTAAACTTTCACATTTTTAAATTCTTAAATCTCAAAGTTCTCAAACCTATAAAGAAAAATTTTAAAAATATTTTGCATTTTAATTTATAGTCTAAATGGAACTTGATTTATCATATTTCTTTTAATAGATAATCATTTAATAAAACAGATACTCGAGTCGTGTATATTTAATATCCGATGTATTCTGCCTCTTTTTGTAGTTAGGTATATTGCAGAAGATTCGATACTTATCGATAACTGTTATGAACTCATTTCTCATTTCTGTGGGAGAGAACTGAAGTACGCTATTAAAGCGTCTGGTGGGGAGATTGACAGTTATTGCTTTCGAGTGAAACTATGTACTGTAGACTCTCATTATATTGCCTCAAACGTTGATATTCGGGTGAAATATTATTGCGCTTGGCTATATAGGAAAAGTGATTCGTATTCAATTAATATTGAAACTTCTGATATTACAAATGTGTTCTATTAATTTAGGAATTTTAAATTTAATAATTCAAAAATTTAGGATCTTGATATTTTTGTATTTTCTGTTACTGAATTTGTAAATTTTCAAATTTGTAATTTTTTGAAGTACATTTCTAAATTTTTTTATTCATAAATTTTCTCAATTATTAAATTTCGATTTTTCAAGTAGTGAAGTTCCTAAGTCTCTTAACTTCAAAATCTGCAAATTCCCTTAATTATCAAATTCACACGTTTCTTTGAATGTCGGTTGATTTTTGAATCCTGAAATCTCAAAATCCCTAAATTCCTAAATCCCTAAATCCCTAAATCTCTAAATCCCTAAATCCCTAAATCTCTAAATCCCTTAATCCCTAAATCCCTAAATCCCTAAATCCCTAAATCATTAAATCCACAAATCTCAAAACCATCAGATCTTCAAATCTCTAAGTCTACAAATCCTTAAAAATACCTAAATCCCTAAACACCTAAGACCCTAAATCCCTAAGTCCCTAAACCCCTAAATCTCTGAATCCCTAAATCACTAAATCCACAAATCTCAAAACCTTCAAATCTTCAAATCTCTAAGTCCTCAAATCCTTAAAAATACCTAAATCCCTAAATCTCTAAGTCTTTAAATCCCTAAACCCCTAAATCCCTAAATCCCTAAATCCCTAAATCCCTAAATCCCTAAATCCCTAAATCCCTAAATCCCTAAATCCCTAAATCCCTAAATCCCTAAATCCCTAAATCCCTAAATCCCCAAATCTCCAAACCCCCAAACCCCTAAATCCCCAAATTTCCAAATAAAAAAACACGTAAATTACAAAATCTAGGAACCCAAGAATTATTTAACCCTGCTACGTACAAGAATTCATTAAAGCATCTCGCAATATAGCCAGAGTCAACTACACCAAAACGCCTTCTCGTTTCTCCACCGTAATTATCAAATATTAGTATAATTTCCTCACTTAATATTTACCTCAAAACTGTA